TTGGATTATTAAATGATTTTTGATATTTTGAAATGTAAACGAGCGTCTCTTGTCTGAAAGTAAATTTTTATACCTGGAGAAGCTTCTTTCAATGCCTACTGATGTTATTGGTGCGTACTTGAAAAAGACGATCTCACTTACTGACAATTCTTCTTCAATTTGAAAAGATGTTGCTTCACCTGTTAATATCCTAGAGATTTTCTTCATTGTTTGGAAGCCAGTGAAATAATAAAAAATGATAAAAAAATAATAAAAATTGGGAAAAATTAACAAAAAATTTAAAAAATGCTTTAAAATGCAAAATATGCCAAAACATTTAAAGAAAAATGCCCTATAAATCTAAAAAAATGCTCTAAAGGACAAAAAATGTCCAAAAATGCAAAAAATGCAAAAAAATGCAAATGTCATCAAAATCCGGGACCAGTTTAAGTTTTAAAAGTACTTAAAAGATAATGCAAAGGATGTTTGCTTTCTCGTAACTTTTTTCAGAAGTACGTACCCCCTTCGCCCGATGGCAAGTGAATTCTAACCCTTGATCCATCTACCACAGAAGATATTTTAAGTCAGTATTGTGGTCGGACAATACGGGAGCAGAACTCGTATCACCCAGCCACAGCTGGGATTCGAACCGAGATCGCCTCATTTGGAGGATAATGCTTTATCCCCTGAGCCAACACGGTTTGCACTAATATCATAGTAATAAGTGCTATTTTAATGGTTACCAGACATATACCACTATAGTTATTTAATACAGGTAACATGATAATAAGTTTTTTGTGTCCCCGGAAGTGATTAGTCGTGGATGAACTACTTGATTGTAACAAATAGTGATTATTATGAGTTGGGTGCGAGCAATAGCTATGATGAATGATACTGAATATAATTAATATTTATTTTAATGGGGTGAACTTTAAAATGCTTGTTTGGATTAATTTAATTAGCATAAAGTCACCTGGAATTTCAACAAATGATAAATAAATAAATATTAATAATTATTTAATTGTTTTTTAATCGTGTCGGTACATGCTTTTCAGTTTTGGGTATGATTTCGTAGTGTTGATTAATAACGATATCTCGAATATTTACTTTTACCACCCGTGAGCAACTATTTTCCAAGTTTTAAATGAAAATTTATAAATTCCAAAAATAAAAAGAAATCAAACATTTAATAGAAAAAAATATCATATATTTTTGTTATAACTATAAAATAAAATCTTATGGAGAATGTGTTAAAAATTGTTACTGCATTATAATTTAGTTACCATATCCTTTTAACAGCAAAAGATTTTTGTCATATGCTCAAAATGAAAAAAAAAGTTATGCTTTGCTGATTTTTCTAGAATTTAATAGATTTCAATTTAGCCCATTTACGTCTAACCACGAAAAACAGTGTTTCCAACTTATATGCTTTTGGCAGAATGGAGTGGTATCCAATCAAAAGCTAAGGTTTTTGGAATTTGGGCTAATTGAGAAATTTTAATAACGGTTCAAAAGTAAACTTTTGAGCCATTCACATTATTTTTCAGTTACTGTTACAACTTGTACTGGTGCACAGACCAATGAAGTTTCTGAAGTGAAACATTTTAATGTGAGTTTGAAAATTATTAATTACGAAATAGCATAGCGATGAGAAATATCTCTTAACATTTTTGCATTATCTAAAAATGTTGCTCCACAATTAAGGATCAATGCGGTTTTTGTTATGG